GGAACCGGTGGGGGTTTCTCAATACTTCGATATATTACCCCATGTGAATCGGGCTCTGGAATGGTGGGAGGGACCTCTTCAACGATGACAGTGGCCTCTTGAACGGTGGGGGGGAATCTTGAGGGAGAAAAGGGGCCTCTTGAACGATTGGAGGGGACTCTTGAGGGATGACCGGTGAGTCGGGCTTCTTCTTGCGGAGTCTTCGCACCATTGGGGTGAACGGAGACGTAATAGCACGTCCACGTCGTCTGATGCGTGAACTCCGTCGTGCAAGGAAAACCCGACTTAAAGCATCCACCTTATCGGGCCGCTAAAAAAAATTAATACATAAATCAGTAAATAAATAGACATGATATTAAACAAAGACAAATATGTTTCAAACTAGCATTGTATTCACCCAAATCATTATTCTATCATAGTTCACAAAATGCTCAGATAACATTCCAGAAGTAAGCACTTATATAAACATTTAAAAGGACAACATATATAAACATTCCAGAAGAAGAATAGTTTACTTTCGCAACACGAAACTTAAAATCGCAACTCGAAATGACTATCGCAACGCGGAAATGGCTATCGCAATGCGAAATGAAAATCGCAACGACAAAATCGCAACGCGAAATGAAATCGCAACGACAAAATCGCAACGCGAAACACAAATCGCATTGCGATTTTCATTTCGCGTTGCGATTTTGTCGTTGCGATTTCATTTCGCGTTGCGATTTTGTCGTTGCGATTTTTATTTCGCATTGCGATAGCCATTTCCGCGTTGCGATAGTCATTTTCGTGTTGCGAAAGTAAACTATTCTTCTTCTGCAAATTGAAACTTGAATGGATTGCATTACTTCAAACCAAAAGACAAAAACAAAACCAAAAACAAATACTAACAAAAACAGATTGGCAGCAACCGAATGAATTACGAGTATGAAAAATCTTAAACTTACCTCGTTGCGTAGAGTATGAACCTCATTCTGCAACGATGCTACCATCTCACGTAGAGCGGCTACCTCACCGCGTAATGTAGACACCTCAACACGCCATGCACCATCGTCTTTGCGTAAAGTACCGACCTCCTCACGCAAGGCATTGACCTCATCACGTAACTCCCCTAACTCATCCCGTTGAGGTGGAGGTGGAGAACAGGGAGATAAACGTCGTGGCATCTTTGCCGGTCACCTATCTTGCGGTGATGGTGGAGAAGAGGCTCGATGATGTGACAGAATAGGTGATGGCTGTCGTTGTGGAGGTGTATAGCCGGGTCGATCAGATGATGGCTCTAGGTGAGGTGATAGCTCTGGGCGAGGTGATGGCTCCCGAAGTGGAGGCTGCTCATCAACCGTTCCATCAAAAAAACGCTTACTAGCTTGCCACCAATCAGTGGCAAGCTCAGCTTCCGTGGGTGTCAGCCTCTGTAGATGAGTGTTGGCCTCCTAACAATATAAAAGCTCAAACAAAGTTAAATGTGTACTAGTAATAACTTGTTTATAAACATATGGTAGTATTTATGTTAACTTACATTATTTATTGTCGTATACCATAGTAAATCTTCCCATTGCAAGGTTCGTTTCCTCTTCCAGGAAATAGCCCTGGGAATATTATTTGAAGTTTTTATTGCATATGTCTTCATGGCGGGAAAGGCCTCAAATATCCAAATCTACAAACAATATAATAACAAACATTAGTAATTGTTAAATAATTACTTATAATTTTGGAAACATTATATAAAATTCTTACCTTAAAGGCCCAAATAAAGCCTGTCAAAGTGTATTTGGAACCATCGCCATGCAAACTTTTTCGATCATCCAAGGCAGACGATAACTTATTCCATGTAGCTTTCCATAAATACGAGCCCCACGGAAACAGGTTCCACGCATTTAGGTCTTCTACCAATTTGATTAGATCATTTGGAATAGGTTGTCTGGCCTCTCTGCCTAAAAAACCGGCATGCAAAAGAATTAGAAGGCATACTCGGACAACGTCGACGTCATCCATCCGAGTAAAACCATCTTTATTATTCAAAAATCTTGTCAGGTCTTCTACGTGTAGACTCGGCCTCTCCAGCTCAGGAAAAACCCGGGATAGCCATGATGGGCGGGTAATGTGTCTAGTGTACCGACCTACATCATCGTGTCCGAAGCGTAGACCGGTGATTAAGCAAAACTCCTCCCGCCCAAAACACGTATACGCCGGTGGAAAATCAAACCATATCTCTTCATCACGACGTTGTATAGTCTCTGGTAGATCTCTAGTCATGGTTTGAAGAAACAGGTGTGTCAACATCGCATCTCCACCGGGATGTTGTACTTTCAGCCATGGCCCGAAGCATGTATCCTCAAACATTTTTCTTTGTGCAGGTGAAAGCTTCGACGCAATTGTTTTGGCCAGGCTGACTTTATTTCTCAAGGTCAATTGAGCCGAATAAAAGTTCTACAAAAACAATAAACATACTAAATTAGATATACCAAAAACTACACTGTGAAGATATACCAAAAACAATAATAAACATAAATAGTAGTAGTTTATTCTTCAAACTTAAATATGCAACACTGTGAATTTCGTATTTGTCTTTGTTTTTTGGTTGAAGTAATGCAATTCATTCAAGTTTCAATTTGCAGAAGAAGAATAGTTTCTGAAAATGAAAATCGCAACACGAAATGACTATCGCAACGAGAGAATCGCAACGCGAAACTAAAATCGCGTTGTGATTTGCATTTCGCGTTGCGATTCTTGGTTGATTTAATAAGCAATCTAAGTGAAATGGTTAATCTATTATTGAAATTACCAGTAAACTTATCATCAATTTCAATATGAAAAACCTAATAATAATGCAAAAATTTCAAAAAGAAAATAATTAAAAAAACTAACCCTCGTTGGTTGATTTGGTTGATTTTCCATTTCTGATTGTGAGGGTGGCTCTGAGAGATTTAGATAGATGGATTTCGCCGGAGATGGGGACGGATTTCGTCGGAGATGGGTGAGAGAGTGAGAGATGGAGATGGGACTGAGTTGTGATTTTAGGTTTTAGGTTATGAGTTGCGATTACGGGATATACTGTGGACAGTTCAGTGTTCCAATATATTTATATTCATGTTTGGAATTTAAAAATAAAATACTTGGCCAGGATACTAATGGCGCTTTGAAAATCGCATTGCGATTATGTATTATCGCGTTGCGAAAGTCAGTATCGCGTTGCGAAAGTAAGTATCTCGTTGCGATTTTTTATTATCGCATTGCGATTTTCCCAATTCGCATTGCGATTTACTTATTCGCATTGCGAATTTCCCAATTCGCGTTGCGATTTACTTATTCGCATTGCGAATTGGGAAAATCGCAACGATACTGTAGACCATCGCAACGCGATTTTCAACTATCGCATTGCGAAAATGCAACGCGAATTTGCGATAATGGAGATCGCGTTGCGAATTAGCGATCGCATTGCGATTTTGTTGGTCATTTTGGCAAATCCGGAAAAAGTTGGTTAAAATCGTATATTATATGGGATTTTTGGCCACTGAGGTTATTTTCTCATACTTTATTCACAATTACAAACTAATCATCATCTATGAATAAAAAATACTATGATTATATCAAATAATAAAAACTCAAATAAATAATTTGAACAAATGATAGATACAAACAAACACTATTCGACAATGATAAAGAATAAATGAAAAAAAAATATTGACATAAAAATACATATAAAAATGATGGTTCGTGAATAAATTGACATTATTATAACTCAATTGCAATCCATCTTCGGTGATTGCACGCACTAATTAATATCCATTTTAAGAGTATAAAGAATGGATAAATCAACAAGATAACTAAATAAAAACTACGCATGTTTTCCTCATTATTTTTAATAATATTTTGAGGAGTTTCATTCATGTGTTGCAACATTTGAATAAAATAATTTCATAATTAAGGAAAAGAAAAGGGGGAATATGGATAATTATTGTTTTCTTCTATGTAAAGAAGACATGTTTATTCGTATCATTGAAATTAATCATAAGAGTGGGGTGAGATGTAATCGCTCAAAAAAGAAATGAATGGATTTGGTGTATCACGATGTCAACGAATTCCATTTCCATACCAAGCAAATGTTGACCTAACTGATGCGCATTCCTTAAATAACCCTATTTTCGGAACTAATCAGTTTGGTCAGTCGAATAGTCTCGAATTTTGCGTCTACTTATTTTATATTATCATGCGATATACCAAGGACAAGAAGCGGCTTTTGTGTTATGTTGTGTACTCTTCTCCTCGCCTTACCATTAGTTTCTTTTAATAAATAGGTGAAGAGGCATTTGGCCTTAGATTCACTCAAGGGACGCTTTTCCCCTCACCACCAAAACAACACCACAAATAAACAACTTCATAAAATCAGGCAAATAATCCCCAGCTTAATGGATCTATATTTCATTTAAATATATATATATATATATATTATAATTTCTCTAAAAAATAAATTAAAAAATAATATAATTTTATAAAATTAGAATAATATTTTTTTTTCTAAAATTGGGCAAAGCTTGGTTGGGGGGATTAGTTTGAGTTGAGTTTGAAGAGCCACATTCACGGAATATAACTATGAATATTGATATTTAATTAAATTAAAAAATGTGGAATTGATACGGGGAATCTTGGACAATGTAAGATTCTTGAGGATGAGGAATGGATTAATTAATTGAATGGGCATTTCCTACAAGGCTGTAACAATACGGAGATAAGATAAACAAATAGGGAATATACTTTGGACAATTAGATGATAAAATTTCCAATTGGTTGGCGCAACAATCCAAATTTGCATTTTAAGTGTTGGAGCCAATGAGCATCCTTGGAGTTAGATAGAACAGCCGCACCGCCATGCAAAAGCATCCAAGGCAAATTGACCAAATACTAGGGTTGTCTTCGGTTAAGATTTCTCCGACAATGAACTCAAAACCCTTTTATTCGTTTAACAACGAGGATGGTTTTATTCGAAACATAAACAACAGGAGATTGAAGTAGCAAAGACAGAAAGATCTCTACATATCATATATATATAGAACTTTCTACCGAGATTTTTCTTACAAAAATTTGTACACCATATTTCTCATTGTCATGAGAGCTTAGTACGCCGGTGAATCGGTTGTGGCGTGGGTAGAGGAAGATGTCGAATGAACTCTCCCTTCACTATGGCTGCCCCTTTCCTCGGAATGCGACTGTTGATGTCTTTGCACCGATGTTCCGCATGGTTGAGCAACCGTGGCCAATGTGGCTACCGGGGTGTAGATTCCGCTACTCGGCGCATCGGTGGCTGTTTTTGTTGATGTCGTTGCGGTCATCGTGGAATATTCCGGTGGAGGTACCCAGATGCCTCCGACCACCACAAATTGAGGTGCTTGTGGATTGGCGCTGTGTTGGACGGACGGACTCGGTCTCCTCGTGTGCAATCTATATTTCTGCAACACATGAAATGAAGGATTTAGGCCATGCAGGAACTTAAAATCTATTGAAAACTAGGTCAACATTGTCAAATATAGTGGGAAACACGCTACTCTAATTGCAGTATTTTCTCAAAAACCAGATTAATTTGCCAAAACAGAAACCCTACTGATTCATCCCTAAAGTCTAAAATCACCTGTAAATGACTTTTAACTTCATCATTTGTAAGTCCATCAACCTTCATCAGCTCCCTAATTTGCTTTGGAGTGGCAGCTGCAACCAAAATCCATGTTTATAATCGTCGCCTCTATGAACGAAATGGTAACGATGATAATAATAAGTAGAAGAAAACTCACCATGTGAACCGCCGAGTTGATGGAGAGCGTGCAAGAAGCGCCGATGCAATTCCGGCGACCAACACCGCCTTGTCTTTCGCTGAGTCTGACCCTCCTTTTCATCTTTTTTACTTGAGTTTCCATTATTGGCTTCTCCTCCTTCACCTCTACTCTTACTTTCTGTTGTGGAAGTACTTGTAGCTGAAGCATTTGCTTTTCCTACCGCAGATGGTTGAACACTTTTTACCACGACTTTTTCTCTCTGGAACGGTTGAAATGCTCCACCATTTTCCTTCACTTCCACACCACTTCCATTGTTACCGGCATCCTAAAAAAGGAAAGAAAAATCCCAGAAATTGTTGATCTTTTGTTCCTTTTTCTCTTTGTTTGGAGATTTAAAAAGGGGGGGGGGGACAAAAGGGTACCTCATTCAAGGGTAGATCTGGGGATTGATTGTTGTTGTTGTTCCACAACTGAACGGATCTAAGCCAATCGGATTTCCTTTCATGATCAACAGCAGCAGGAACATTCTTTTCTTTGGATTTATCCGATTCTTGTTCATCGTCTTCCTCGGAGCAATCAGAGCTTTTTTTTATCGGAATAAATTCTTCCAAAACCGGAACATCACTGGTCGTCTGCTCCGAACAATCCGATTGCCCTTGCATGTAATCCGTCGTGGTCGAACCCCCCGATATCTCTTTCTTGCATGCCTCAATCGCTAATAAGAAGAAAAAAAATCGGCACTCAAAACAACAAAAACAATGGAAATAAAAAAACAAAACAGATAAAAGGTAAACCTTGCGTGACAAGCTCCAAACACAAAGGAAGTTCGCGTTGAAAGACTTGAATTTTACGTCGTTCTTCTTCTAGAGCTTCAGCATATTCATGGCCTCGGCGTATTTTTTGAGCGAAATCCATCTCTACCATTTACCCTTTTCTTAAAAAAAAACTCCTTTCACTTAAACTTTTTTCTTCTCCCTCGTTCTTCAACACCCAGATTACAGAGACAGTGGAGGAGGATGAATTTATGTAGGGGGGAAGGGTTGATTTTCAGACCAAACAGCATAAATAGATCCGGAGAAGACGAGACAAAAGGGATCTAAACAGAATCAAAAGGAGAATAAACTTTGGGTACCAAGAAAAAAATACATAAAAATCAAAAGCAAATGGAAATCAAGAGAGAAAATGGAAGACAACAAGGAAAGAAAGAACACAACAAAGTCGGGGCGTCGCGTAACAAACAAAAAATGAACCCTTTTTGTGTTTAGAGGGAGAAACAGTTTGTATTTAGCCTTACTTATATAGTATAAAAGCAAGATGGGAGAGAAGATAAGGAAAGAGATAGAGAGAGTTGAATATTCCAGTTAGTGATTCGGTTTTCGTCGTTTCTGGATGGGCCCGGCCATGACGTCACCTCTTTCTTCCATACGCACTCCTTATTTTTTGTTCTTGATCAGATCAATGACTTGTCTAGTCTCGTTGGGATGAATCACTTTTGAGATCCTAAATTTTAATTTTGTCTAATATGATCCATAAACTATTTTTAATAGTTTAGGGTGATTATAATGTAATATTTATTTTAAAAAAATAAACTATCAATAATAGGCATACCTTACTGACGTAACTGTTTGAACTCATAACATCTTGAGAGAATAACCTTTCATTTTACCACTCAATCCCAAAACTTTTTTTATCTCTACTAAATTGTGAACTTAAATATTTTCCAATTTTCTAAAACTATTTCGATAACGTAATACGCTAAAATTGTCTAATTGTATTTCATCACTAATAAGAGCTTAAGTAAACGATATTCACTAGGTCAAGAATGCCCTCTTTAGTAAAGGCTTCATAGGTTTGATTGATTAAAATGAGAATCTCAAATTAAATGAACAATCGGTTTCACATATATAAAAGATTATATACTCGTGTATCAAACTCATCATAAAATAGATTTCTCAAAGTCCAAAAAAAACTATTGCTAATTACTTGTAGTGAGAGTGAATCTCAAAATATCATATCATCACAATACTAAAATCATGTTAGGAGGGTCATCCTCATAATGGGTTTCTGCAAAAATTCGATATGAATTAGTCAGATACCAGTGAATATTTTTTTTAAAAAGTTTAGAACTAAATTGAAAAGATTACTAAGAACAAGGACTAAATTTTATTTTACTCTTTTTATGAGGGTTAGGGTAAGAGCGACTCTAGATTGTTTAGTGTGGGCTACGAATTGAATGGCTGCCACGTAGGCCAACTCATATTTGAGCTGGGTGTATTTGTTTGGTTTGTTGGTTGTCCTACTTGGACAATGGAATATCCGGTCGGCTTTTCTTTTTGGGATAAGTGAAAATATGAATAATAATAACAATGGAAATCGTGTTTGTTTAGCTCCTTGTTTAATACTCCGGCTGTTGTTTTTTATTTATTAAAATAAATTGTAATCATATTAATTAAATTTTTAGAAATATAATTACAAAAATAACAACATATTATGTATATATATATATATATTCAAAATTTATAATTACAATAGATAATTATTTGATATATCGAAGGCGCTTGTGAATTTTTTTATCACCAATACATGTGATAATAATCTAATTATAATTAATATAATTTAAATTTAAATTAATTTTTATATATATTTAAACTTGAACTAAAATAGATTTTTATTGATAATTTAAATATATTTATATATAATAAATATCGAACTTAAGAAATCAAGAATTTTAAAACCTTAATCTTACCATTAAATTATATTATGTATGGGTATAACTTGGGATATTCTCATCGTTGATTGTTTTTTTTTATTCTTCATCGGGGATAAGTCTAAATGGTCCCGTCAAGCCGCACTGTGTGATATGGTAGTGGGCAGTGTGGCTTTTCAGTGTGTCGAAGGGCCATTTTGGTGGTTTGATAGTTTCTTTTGTCTAAATTACATCGAAGACCCTGCTCTCGTTGCTGTCAGTAGAGGCCCCACGTCTTACGTTGCTTTCCAGCCTGGTGGTTTGACAGCTAAGCAACTGGGAATACAAATCGGATGCCCTGGAGATTCTATTATTCATTTTTCTTGTTTCGACACATTTGGATAGAGTATTAATAAGTTTAAATTTAAATTATATAAATAATCTCTCGACTATATAATATTATTTTGTTGAATTTTTTTTGTATAAATAAATTATATTTCATCTAAAAAAGAATGCAGTCAAGCTGCTACAAAACATAACAAACTACAAGCTAGATGATACCCTAATTCATGCATAATTATCTATTTACATCATCAATCCTATACATTCCATGCCTATAAAGTTTAATTTTCACAGCCTCCATTAGCCTACTTACAATTACATCAACCGGGCGAGTCAAATTCCTATAGTGTTTATGGTTGTGTTCCTCCCAAATAAAGTAGAGAAACCCAATCCACACAAGCTTAAGAACACGAACTCTGAGGGATTTGCCCTTCATATTAGCAAGCAGGCAGTGAAAGTGCTCATCCCAGGTACAAGCCACACATGAGAGACCACAAGCACTTAGAACAATGTCCCACACTCCTTTTGCATAAGAACAACCAGCAAAAAGGTGATCCCGAGACTCCACACCAGTTCCACACATTCCACAAACATTTTTAACAATCAACCCAAACCGAACAAGTCTATCTTTTGTAGGCAATCTATCAAGGATGACCAACCATGAGATTAAAGAGAATTTGGGAATATGGACAGGGAACCAAATAATCCTATGCCATGCAACTTTCTCTCTACTGTCACGAATGTTGTCCCAAATCCATTTTCCTTTTATTGAATTCCAGCTAGCACAGGGATAGAATAATCTCATAACCTCCTCTCTCAACCTCAGTAACTTGGTTAAGATCCAGCTGAAATGGGGCTTATAATCAACCTCCCAGTAGCTAATAGATTTAAAAAGTATTCCTTAATCCATGCAATCCAGAGTGAGCCCTCATTTGCCAAAATATTCTTACTAGCAACAGGAAACATGCTCTGCTCCATACCACAGGGTTCCTAAGTCCCAAGCCACCCTCAGACTTTAAGGTACAAACCTGATTCCAGCCCACACGTGCTCCCCTGGCTGGGGTATCACTGTCATTCTAAAAGAAGCGCATACAAAGCCTCTCGATATCTCTAATAATCCCTTTTGGAAGAATGAGCTGCCTACTCCAGTAGTTAAAAATACAGAACAAAATAGTTTTAATCAATTGCAGTCTGCCCCCAAAGCTAAGATTTTTATTAGACCATTGCCTGAGCTTGTCATTAATCCTAGCCAACAAAGTTGCACAGTCTTTACTTGTGAGTTTCCTAGTCACAAGAGGTACTCCAAGGTACCTAAAAGGAAGGTGCCCCAATCTAAATCCAGTAACATAACAAATATGCTCAAGAGTGTATGCATTCAACACACAAGCAAAAAATTCAGTTTTCTGAGCATTCAATTTGAGGCCAGATAACTCATAAAATTTCTCCAAGATGCTCAGCACTCCCAAAACAGAATCAAGTGATCCAGCAAAAGACTAGCAAATCATTCGCCAAGCAAAGGTGAGTGAGGGGAACTCTCTTACACTTATGATGGAATTTGGAGATTTCCTGCTTTGCAACAACATCCAAAAGAGAGGACAAGACATTCATGGCAATGACAAAGAAGTAAGAAGATTAATTATCTCCTTGCTTAATCCCCCTAGCTCCCTTAAAGAACCCCACCAAACTCCCATTTAAATAGACAGAGTACATAAGAGTAGTAATGCAAGCTTTGACCTAATTACAGGAAATAGTAGGAAGACCCAAAGCCTCAAGAGCAGTCAGCTAAAACCCCTAGTTAACAGAGTTAAAAGCTTTTTGTAAATATATTTTAATGGCACGCCTAGGAGAAAGACTCCTCATTGAATAACCCTTAACAATCTCCCGAGCTAGCAAAGTGTTAACAATTATGTTCCTTCCCTTAACAAAAGCAGACTGACTTTGAGAGATCATGGCAGGGAATAAAGATATTAATATATTCACAAGAATTCTAGTAATGGTCTTGTAAACCACTGAACAACAGAAAATAGGCCTAAAATCTTTTGCCAAGCATGCATTGAGGGACTTAGGGACCAAAACTAAGGCATTTGAATTGAAAGCTGGCAACATAGAAGAAGTGTGAAAAAAAATACCTCACAGCAAAAACAAAGTCTACCCCAACAATGTCCCAGGCAGCCTTGAAAAAATCAGAAGTGTAGCCATCATGGTCAGGACTTTTATCATTCTCTTGCCTAAACAAGGCCTTTTTAATCTCCATATCATCCACCTCATTAGAGAGGGAATCATTAGCTTCATTAGGCAGGGAGTAGCTCAGCAATCCTTTTAAGCTTTCAATAGAGTAGACACTGACCAATGGATCAGCAGAGCCAATTAGGCCAGTGAAATAGTCAACTAGCTCTGCAATCATCTCTTCAAAGGACTCATAACATTGACCTTATTCACTTTTAATAACTCTAATGGTATTTTTCTTTTTATTAGACTCAACCCTCTGGTGGAAGAATATAATATTTAAGTCACCCTCCTTTAACCAGTGCATTTTAGCTTTCTGGCTGTAAAACTCTGACTCAGTAATTTCCAAGTCTACTAATTCAGCTTGGATGCTTATTTCATCATCAATCCTCCTCTGATCCACATGAGACAGATTAAAAATTTGAATCTGCTCCAGTTCAGATCTCTTGGATCTAACTCTGCCAGAAATATCAGAGAAGTATTCCTTGTTAAATTCCTTAAGGCAAGGTTTAAGTCTTCTCAATTTTATTAACAATCATTGCATATGAGAGCCTTTACAATGACATTGCCATGACTCCACAACAGTACTTAAAAACTTATCATGAGTAGTCCAGCAGTTAAAAAATTTAAAAGGTCTGGGTTTCTTGGTCATAGCCCCTTTATGTGACCACAGTAAACCAAGGCAGTGATTAGAAACCCCTTGAGCCTTAAACTCAACAAAGGACTCAGGGTAGTCCATCATCCACTAAAGGTTGATTAAGATCCTATCCAGTTTCCTGGCAAAAAAATATCATTCCTGCATATTTGACCAAGTAAACAGATGACCAAGAAAATGATGATCCATCAATTCAAGGTCCTCCAAGCACTCATAAAACTCCCTCATGTCAGGGGTAGAATGCACTCCCATAACTTCAAAATCAGATATTTACTCAGCTCTAGCAGTGATGTTAAAGTCCCCCCAATCACCCATGAGGAATGACCAATATCATTCTCA